GTGCAGCAATGTTGACACCCTATCAGTATTCGACCCTTGATGCCGGGACAATCCGGTTGCTCAAACTAACAAAATCGACACCATGGAGCCCAGTGTATTGCGAATTAGAACCGGTGTACCTAGACAGGCGACCAAGATTCGAGACCATTTCGTATACTTGGGGCAACAATCAAGCGATGCAGTCACTCATAGTCAGCGGGAGAAGGCTTCAAGTCTCGCAACGAGTTTACGATATAGTACAAGACAGAACTTCATGTCTGATGACAAGATATATCTGGATAGATGCCATGTGTATTAACCAAGATGATGACAACGAAAAGAGTTCTCAGGTCCAGATGATGCAAAACATATATGGCTTATCATATCACACTGTTGTGTGGCTTGGGTACGCCCAAGATGCCAAGGATGCCATAGGGCTCATAGCTCATCTACATCGGCGAATCCAGTTTGATGACCCAGTTGAACGAGCATCACGGCCATTGACGGAATTAAACATTGAGCATCCTAGCTGGCCTTCTCTGATAAGACTCATCAACCATAATTACTGGACGAGATGTTGGATAATCCAAGAGATTGCAGCATCACAGAAGACAATCATATCTTACGGAGGAGAACTTATCACCTGGGACTACTTCTCCTCCTTGATTGAAACGTTGTTTAGTGGTGATCCAAATAACGTATGGCATATATCAAAGATATTTTGGCGTGAGCGGACCAGCCAAGATCCTATTCCGATGGATGCGGGTATCCAGATAACTTCCTTGAGAGGCATTAGGGAAACGATTCGCGCGAACAAGTTAGTGCCTCTCTTCGACCTCCTCATTGCGAGTATCAATTCCACAGCTACGGACCCGCGAGACAATGTATATGCTGTGCAAGGGATCAGCACGGCTGTTTCTTCTAGCGATGTTGAACCAGCCTACAGTATCTCTTTTGAGCGCTGTTTTCTCAACACGGCCAGATACCTGTTGGGACAGAACCATCCTTCGCGCATACTTCATCTTGCCGGTATTGGCTTCCATCGCAACCCCAGATTGCAGGCATCTTGGATTCCAGACTGGAGCACCAAAAGACTGGCTAGAATGTACTGGCGTTATCCAAACGAGTCGCCATACTCCGCGTCAAAAAGCGAAAATGAGAAAGAGATCGACATGACTTTGGCATACACTCACTCAAGACTCACTGTAACAGGCTGCAAGGTTGATTGTATCAAAGAACTTGGTCCACAGTTCTTTGGTGTATCGGAGAATGGGGTCCCTAAGACCAACGTCCTCCCTGGAATCTTCAAAGACTTTAGCGATTGTCGCAATATGGTCCTGAGGGGTGTTCTTCATGAGCCGTATGTGACTGGAATATCCCTAAATGAAGCACTTTGGAGGACACTTGTTGGTGATAGAACGCCAGAGAGTACCAGGCCCGCCAATGCGGATTTCATCCATTATTATCAAGCTTTGGAGCGATTCACGGAATTTTTGTCAGAGCTGTGTGGCCCGCAAATGAATTCTCTGGAATCCAGCCTGAGTGCTGAAGAGCAAGTTCGGCTGAACAGTGCCATGGCAAGTCATGTGACAGATATGGGTAGATTCGCGAATGTAATGGGGCCAAACACGCGAGAACGTATGTGCGCAATAACTGAGCAAGGTTATATTGGACTAGTTCCGCCTTATTCTGAGATTGGAGACTTGGTATTTATTCTTTCTGGCGCCCAAGTACCATTCTTGTTACGGCAAGAAGCTGGCATGAGCGGAATAACTAAGCCAAATGTTGAAAAATGGCGGCTTGTTGGGGAGACTTATTTTCACGGCATGATGGACGGGGAGATGGTTCTAAAAAGCCAACCCCTACAAAAAATAGAGTTATGGTAATAGTCCCAATAATATGAAATGGATCAGTTCTAAAAGTCAAGTCAGTGGTGGTTTCCAGCATGGTAATAATTAACGCAATTCTACCAGATTCATCTCATGTCTACTTTCTACGGTACAATAAAACCATGCTAACTTTCCGTACGCGTGGTGGCTGCTTACCAAGAGTAACTTGGCGTTTCAGAAGTCTAGCTGCTTCCGTACTTCTTCTTGCAATTTGAGTCCTCCAATAGTTCACACACTCTACTTTGAATTCGGGACGAAGTGCGGCCATGAAATATCGGCTGATATATCGCCGTAGGTCCGATGTGCTCGCTGTGCCGTAAACATCTAGCAAGAACGTACCATAACCATTCGTAAGACAGCAAAATGGGATTACCAGTAAATCACTACTGCCCTATAATATCAGTATCGGGGTTCGGACTAATTAGACAATGGATACTTCACCGGTCTTGTTGCTCCGACTGTTTATTTACAGATGTCCCTATTCTAAGTATGTCCCATCGTAACTCCCCTACAACACCAGGTATCTTGCTAAGGGTTTCTGTGACGGTACACTAGCTAGTTACTCTTGCAACATGAGAGACTTTGGAAATGTTTTGCCATTTATTGGCATCCATGATAAATGTGGGTTAGTAGTTCCAGAAGCCGTCATTTTAACTGCACTGATCCGCGGGATCAGGTTTTACCTCGCGGAGCTTTTTCCGAGAATGTAACGGCGAAAATCCTTAGAGTTGCCACAGAAAAGCTTGTTGATAATATCAGTTTTGGGTCATCACGAACATCCCAAGTGATTATTGAGACTGATCATTGTCTGGAACCCCCCTTTGTGTACCGCGAGCTCGTGCCACAGTCAGGTCCAGAATATGGTCGTTGTCAACCAAGAGAAGTCGATTTCTGGATAAGTGGCTTCTTTCCTAGTTGCATTTACTCAATACTCAAACAGATCAAGTACCCGAGAAGCCTGGGCTGTGCCGACAATGTATTGTGCCTACGAAATATTCTGCAGAAGATGAAGCAGGTCGGATTGGCCTGGTCTGATCTTCTGAAAGAGCAGGCAACCCGCACCGATACCCATGTCTAGGTTTCATGGTTATGCCACACATGCAGCCTCGGTGGGAGTTGTTCATGATCATGATGCACTCGATGTTATCTCCCCAGCGGCAGAGAGCCTTGCAAGCCGATTCGACGACAATCTCATGGCTATCTATTCTTGGGATGTTATGGAATAGCATTGAGATATGAAGAATCAGTCTAAGGAGTGAAAACTTTCTGGTGATCATTGACTTAATGTGCAACATGGACCTGCTCTTCTATGCAGCTGCAAAATCGGGGAACATGATGCTAAGCGATGTTGCTCTGGAACACTCGCACACTCTATTGAAATCCCATCTCCGTTCAGACAATGCATTCAGAGAAGGCTACAATAAGACTCCATGCAGCACTATACATCTTGTCAACTCCGATTCTAATTGTTGCTCTATTAAGATATTATAGGCTGCCTAAGGGTACCATGCTACGTCGACATGGTCACGGGGCCCAGCATGGGCCATCCTTGGATATGCACAATCATACAATTAGACTAGGCAAACCGAGTTTCTTGATGCTGCCTGTGAATTAGCGGAGTATTTTCTCTTCCGTATGAAAAACATGCTCCGCAATGCGTGGGAGTACTTAAACCTGGCAACAGTGGACAAAGTGTTAGTCGCTATGTGACACTGTGGGACTTTGATGCGCATATTGAACCCTTTCGTGACACTTCTGCTGGAGTAGTGGCTGCGAATGGTATCATTTTTCTATACCAAATTCTGACAGGTATGGGCAGTCATCAATTAGCCTTGAGATATCTTGAAGCGGCAACGACTATTGTTAACGACACAATAGACTACGCACTTGCGAGGCAGATAGTGCGCATGCAGGCAAATGAGCGGGATAAAGTAACATTTCATGACGTTGGACCAACAAGATTTGATGGCATACTCAAGCATGCGACTGTGAACAATAACGCTTCTAGCTTGTTAGATAAGAAGGCTAAAAACCACGGCATTGTGTATGCAGATTATTACCTGATCGAATTTGGTACCCAGCTACCTCGACTTGCTATCTGCTGATTTATCACGTCAAGCAAAATGAAGTCGTGGTGCAGAGCCGAACGATTTCATTTGAGTTGTACCCCGTGTGGTACTGAACTTGTCACAAATGAGCTATTTAGCAAAAGGAAGATCTTCCCCAGCTGAACACAAGTAGTCACGACCGGCTATATTTCCTTTCGTAATGACTTTTATGGTGACACCGTCTCGTTGATTGGTGCAACATTGAACAAGGGAGTCATAGACAGAGCAAAAGTCAGTCGTCTCATGAGAGTAAATCGCATGATTGGCCTACAAGAAGAATTCAGCAACCACATTGAGGCAGTACGTATAAAGATACGAGGGAGGCAACCCGGGATTATGCAATAGCGAAACAAATAGGTTCTCTGACGACGCCTTCACCTTTCCACCCTGGAACCCTCCGAAAGTATTTGTAAAACTTAACTTTGCGTGATTAAAGGAGAAGCTGAGTACGCGTTTTTTTCCTTGCCCAGCCGCCAAGACACGCCTGACTCGAGGTTCGCCGAGTTACCAAGACGCCGAGACATGAGCAAGCCGCACAGCGGGCATCTACCCAGAATACCCAGAGCCCAAGACTCCAATAAAGACATGCCAAGGCCTGATAAATCCATAATTGCGTGCTTGAATCGACCAGTTTCGCAATCGTTCTCACATGCTTTACGACTCTGAACTGGCGACCTATGTTGAACAACATAAGAACTCCAAGATGCCCCGAAGCCCTATAAAGATATTGGCGCAACCTGTTTTCTTTAGGCCTAACCTATTCTACGGTTCAGGTGCCCCGCTTGAATCCATAACCCACCATAAAGCTAGACTCCACTAGAGAGCATAGCAATGGCTGAATCCAGAGACCCGACTCCGGTTCACCACCACCCCACCGGGGACGACGAAGAGCCTCTCACACGGGTAGTAGACTGGACAACTGAAGAAGAAAGCAAAGCCAAGAGGAAGTAAGTATGCCTCTTCCATACTGAAACCATCCCAGCAGAAACTTACTAGGCTTTCGCGCAGGCTCGACCTTATCATTATGCCGATCCTCACTCTTGGTTTCTTCTGCCTACGTAAGTAGTTGCGCGTGCCTAAATATGTGCAAATGTTATATCTAACGAGATCACTACACGATGCAGAACTGGATCGGGGCAATATGGCAAACGCAATCACTGATCGTTTTATGGAAGACGTCGGTATCAATCAAGACCAGTTCAATGTCGGCCAGCAGATGCTGTCGCTTGGTATTGTGCTTTTCGAAATTCCCTCCAACATGATACTCTACCGAGTAGGGCCTGGCAAATGGCTCACATTACAACTCTTCCTATTTGGCATCGTCAGCACTTTCCAGGCTTTTCAAAGAGGCTATGGTCCCTTCATCGCGACGCGCTTCCTCCTCGGAATCACAGAGTCGGGATTCATCCCAGGGGGCTTATGGACGTTATCAACATGGTACACTCGTGACGAAACTGCCAAGCGCGTCATGGTATTCTACTTTGGTAACCAGATCGGACAGGCGTCCGCTAAGCTGCTCGCATATGGCATCCTGCATATGCGCGGTGTTGGCGGTCAGCCTGGCTGGTTCTGGCTATTCGCACTGATGGGTTCGTTCACGGTACTGGGCGGGTTTGTGTTCGGGTTTTTTCTTCCAGACTCATTCAAAAGGCCGCAGAGTACATTCTTGCCGAAGATAACATTCTTTACTGAGCGCGAGTTACATATCCTACAAACAAGGGTGTTGCTTGATGACCCTATGAAGGGGAAAAAGAAGAATAAGATCGGACTAGATGCGTTCAAGAGAGCAGTAAGTTGTGCACTTTCGCCGCTTCACTTAAGGTCGATCGCTAACGCGTGTTGCCAATGGCTGCTTAGTTCACAAACTGGCGTCTCTGGTTACATTTTCTAATCACGCTTTCGAACAATGGACCCCAGCGCGCGTTTGACACCTATGCACCCTCTATCGTTACTAGCTTTGGCTTCGGGAACCTCGTCAGCAACGCGATGGCATCAGTTGGTCTCTTTTTACAGGTGCCGGTATCGTTCGCTTTCAGCTGGGTCTCGGATCACAAGTACGTTTAGCCTGATATAAATTGCTAGCCCAAGCCCTATGGCAAGGTTCCGTATTGATAATGCCTGACTACAGAAACCGACGAGGCGAGACAGTCATGGTCGGCTTCTTTTGCCATCTACTCGGCTATATTTTCAACCGTGTATTTACCGACGTGCCAAAGCGCGGCGTTCGCTACTTCGGAGTCGTCTGGACTCAGACCTTTGGCACTTTCTCGCATCCGCTTAACATTGCGTGGCTATCTCTCGCCTGTAATGATTCAGAGCAACGTGCTCTCGCCATGGCAGGGTTAGTTGCTCTCCTTCCTGCTTCTTCTCATTCGTGTTCGTATATAGCTAACCAGCCGGCTCATGCGTAGTGTGATCATGGGCGCCAACATTGCCGGTATCTACGGCGCACAGATATTTCGCCGTGATGACCGACCTTTGTACCGTCGCGGCTTTAGCGTGGCGATCGCTGTGCTAGCCGCAGGTCTTGTCATGGCCATCGCACGATGGGTCGATGATGTACTGACTAGGCGACGCAGGAAGGTTGACAGGCCCGAGTCCACGGCGTCCACTGACGACCAAACAATAGATAAAGAGGGAGCAGGCAAGACGACACCGCCGCCGCCAAGCGATGTGCAGCCACGGCTGGTATTGATCGACGATAAAATGAAGCCAGTCGTTTCTAAGGCCGTCTGAATTGTAGAAACAAACGATATATTGCTATGTAATGGCGTATTGTCCCTAGACGCAGCGTGGCACAGACAGTGTGACACAGAGTAATAACTTGATCCTTAGAAATTTCTTCTCTATCTAGGTAATATTGTCTCACTGGCCAGATACGACAGGGATGTAAGTTTAAGCCTCTATACTGCGCCTTTCAACAGCCCTATCAGCCGCCCTAGCCAATGCTCAGAGCATCCAGTCCTAATGTCAACATACTAATGCATACTGTACAACTTCGTCGCTTAACGAAGTACCACGCTGAGGAGTTTCTTTTCCAAAGCCCACGATATATAAAGAGGGTTCGAGCTATACTGACTCTAAGTCATTTTTACCTCATTGGTAACGAAGCCTCCTTTTCCTGTCCAATATATTTATCACACCACCTCTCTATTCTCTCAAGCATATCCAGCCAGAATCTCTGACGCTCTATACCGTGACCCTCGCCGGGGTACGCCACAAACTCGCACGGCAGTGCATGAGCTCTCAACGCGCGCCGAAAACCTTCCGCCTGGGAGAAAGGGCATCGCTCATCCTTGTCTCCATGCAGGATCAGCATGGGTGGAATGACAGGCTCTTCCTGATGCCGCGACTTCTCGACCGCGCTTGCCACCTCCCACAGCGCACTGCCCTGACGGTTCCTCGTATCATCGTGACCGAGCGTCCAGATGGAATACCCGCCAGCCAGCTCTTTCTCAAGGGTAGAGCCAAGATCTGCTGTCAGGGCCAGACTTTCAATCTCACAGACACCTGCGCCGGCAATGGTGGCGTTGAAGCGCCAGCCTAGTCCGTGCAGGCCATTGCGTACGCTGCACAGATAAGTGATGAGGCCACCCTGACTCCAGCCACCGACGATGAGCTTTTTCGCATCGGCGAAGCCCTTCTTGATAGCGTTGTCGGTGATGGAGATTACATCGGCGTAGTCGTACTTTCCCTGCCCGCCCATGCTGTACAAGGCGAACTTCTCGCCACGGCCACTTGAGCCGCGATACTGCGGGAGAAGCACGCCGTAGCCCCTGGCAAGAAGGTATGGAGCCCAGTTGTAGCATGACGAGTCAAAGCAGTTGCAGTCGCGGGCCGTTGGACCTCCGTGGATGATAACAAATGTCGGCAGTGGTTTCTCAGGCACACCGTCGTCTCCCATTCTGGCGGTTGGAGTAATGTAAAGACCATCCAGCTCAACCTCTCCATCTGCAGAGGGACAAGTGAGCACAGAGCACGAGCCAAATGACCGGTCCTTGAGTGTCTTGCCATGGTCCGAAAGCTTCAGGTCGTCCTGGCCCTGCTGGACGATGAATACTTCATAAGGTGTATTAGTGTTAGACAAGCTGGCCGCGAGAGTTACCGTACCAATGTTGGGATGTATGAAGACGTCGCACACCCAAAGTTCTGTGTTCTTTCGGAACAGGTCTTTCCCACCCAGCTCGCTAATCACACTATGAAGCCTGACGCTGCGGTTTACCAGCAGCTTTCTGCCTGTCACGATGAACGATTCAGCACCATCTTCCTCTCCGCACGCAACCTTGACGAAATTGCCTTGGGCTGCTGTGGGATTGACGGTGTATACAGACCGTCCTCCACAGTCTTTATCGATGGGGTGGCCAGTGATAAAATATATCTGGCCATCGGGTGCCCAAATCAGGGAAGATAATTCGTTCGGGACCGTGCACAGATCCCTGATTTCTAATGTTTCGATGTTGACGATCGATATTGTCGTGCCTGTCAGCATGGACTCCTCTATGTGGGGGTTTTCGTTGGTGAGAAAAGCCACACTGTTGCCATCGGGACTCCACGCTATTTCGGTGACGTGTCTATTTTCTGCCACGACAGTCTTGATGTGCTTGGAGGCCACATCAATAAGCCGCAGCCGGCCGTATTCCCACTGAGTACCCCAGACAGCGGGATCAACTTCGTCCTTTTCCTCCCTGTCCTTGAGATCCTGGCTTTTCTCGTCAGGTGAAACATAGGCAATGCTCTCTCCGTTGGGTGAAAAGGCAAAGGTCTCAATACCTCGGGCGTTCTCGGTTGGCGTGATGGGAATTGCGTCACCTCCATCCAGGCGCAAGCACCAAATCGCGAAGCTCTCGCCTGGCTTCGAACGATCGGACAGAAATGCGATCTTCTTTCCGGAAGGATGCCAAGTCGGAAGGGTATCACTGAAGAGACCTGAGGTCAACTGGCGTGATGAGCCAGGTCCTACAGTTGACGCCAACCACAGTGTTGAAATGGGGTGTTTATCTCTACGCTGATTACCGCTCAGAGAGGTCGAGTATAGAACTCGTTGGCCATCGGGGGAGAAATTGATTTTCTTTGGAACCTCAAGGTTGCAAATGGCTCGAGCTAGCTCCGTGTCAAATGTGGGGTTTGCGCTGTCGTCCAGGGGTGGTGTCATGGTTGTCTGCATTATTGAGGTTTAAAAACATGAGATTGCGAGCAACTCGTCATGGATTTCAAAAGATTAATAACTCCTTATTAATAGCCGAGGACTTTTCTTCGAGAATTTTACAGTTATATAAAAAGGATGTGTATTTTCCTGTTAACGATGTAAGAAACTAATAAACATGTACCCAGCGTCGCATTGCTAGTATGACTCACACCGACAACCAACGCAGTCATCTTCGAGCCTGGTAAGTACGATCCTTTCTTAAAGAACCTCAAAGGTATTCACTCTCCGAGAATACGGCGAAGATATCAACTATATTACATGTGAGCTGGAGGACACTTCTACAGCCTAGGCTTAGCTTAGTCAAGGCACTACGATATGCACGCTCTATTCGATAATGCCGATAGCATTCAGACTGCAGTGATAGATTACACTTTCCAAGACAGGATATTCTATCTATAGGCTAAGAGTTAATTTACCCCACAATCTCTCCACCGCACTTCATCTTACCGCAAAACACTTAACCTCTTCTTTTATCGCTTGATATCAGAAGTAACATCTAAAACGTATGTAAGAGCTGTAGGGCCTGGAGTTTCAGTGCGTAGTGCTGAGAATGCTGATCTTTTAGGTCATGTAAGCTATTGTGCAAGTTCCGGGGCAATAGCCTTATACGGCCTTGAACGTCTACTGTCCTAGTGTACGTGCCTAGTGAAGACGTGTTTCATTTAGTCGCGATGCAACCTATCTGGGAATAGAGATTTGTGATCATACTCGCTTACAGGAGCTTAGGCGGCAACCCATAACTTGTCCTTAGGCGGAGTATTAGATCATCTATGAAAATCTCTTGTCAATAGTAAAGAATTGTCTAGGGCAACTGTCGCTTGCTCGAACAGGATTAACCTCGGTGTAAGATGACAATGAGAAAAATATGGAAGAGAAGACAGTGTGATGCGGGAGGCGACGGATGGGCCGTCGAGCAGGAACTTCAACAGACTGCCCTGATCTTATTTCGTCTAATTGAAGACAGTATTCTGGGAGAACGCAATAATGCGATGAGCATCTAACGATTTGACACAAATGATATCTATGACATACTGTTCCTGTCATCAGCGGGATTTGCAAATAGGCTTTCCGTGCGCACTGGATGTTGGAGGAATAAGATTTCTTTCGTAGAAAATTTGTGACAATCGGATAGGGTTATTCCGGCACCGATAGAACTATATATAGCACTCCGTACGGTGCTCGCATCTTAAGGACCTACATAACACTGATATTACACACTACTACCACTTACGAAGGGAGCTCTGCGTTATGTAGCCTTGAGATCCGTCACAAAATCGAACATATCTACACTACCGAGGGCTAGTAGATATAATGACTACTCCAATTCCCCCACTAGGGGTTGAGGTTGCGTTTGCTGCGGCAGTTGCTGAAGTGCTCGACGCTGCTGAAGTTGCTGGTGGTGGTGCCGCCGGGCCCGTCTCCTCGGTCGCAGGTACAAAGGCCGCTGCTTCAAGAGGAATCTCGCCGACTGAGCCGCCGGATACGGTAGTGCCATCCACGCTCTCTGTCGTAGCTGCCGCTAGTTTTGCATAATTCAACTAGGTAACGAATGTTAGAGTTGATGTGAAAAGTTTTTAACGGATGGAGTTCCAGAAGTTGTGTCAAGATAGGCACATACTATTTGATTTGGGCTAGTGCTATGAGAGCATCAGCATATGTCGTCTTTGATATTGGGGTAGCAACCATACGGATTGATAATCATGACCTGACCCTCTTGACAGTGTGGCCCCGTGGCACAGTACAGAAACATTGTGTCGGTACTTGCCACGGGCATATTGAATGTCCCTACTGTATTCTGGCCAGCAGTGTAAGGGATATGACCACTATGTATAGCACCCTCGACTGTTGCTTGGAGAGGTTGGCATGCGGCATCTTCGGCACTCTGTGTGACGGTGTGATTTCCGTTGCTGAACTGAAATTGTATGACATCGCCCACTGCTGCTGTTATGGAGTTCGGGACAAAGGTGTCTTGTGGTCCGCCAACAACAACTGTAATGAGCTGATTGGCCCTCTTTTGAGCATCTTCTCTTATTTCTGCTAGCATTAATTCGTTGCTCAGCATGTGTAATAATGCTCAATTAACCAACCTTGTAGTGAGTTAACCGATCTTGCTCGAGAGCTGGCATCGATATGAGAACGTTGTGGTAAAGCATTGACCAAAACGCTGAAAACGAAAAGAGCCCTACAGAACATTGTAATGTTTTCGTTATCGTAAATAAAATGATAGTAAAAGCTATATTAATGTAGAGACTAAACGAATGATAGAACAAAGGGTAGATCTATATGAGCGCCTCGCTTGGAGGTTGAAAGAGAAAGACGTATGTGGTACGAGGAAAATATTTGCAGCACAAAATTAACAGAACCAGGCTCCTGGGGTTTATCTTAGTCTATATTCTATGTCTACCCGCTGTATTTAATGAGACAGTATAGTCTGTTGAAGACAGACGCATCTCATGGAAAGAATACGCATGCGGTTGTTACAGCCAAGCAAGTCACGTAAGCTCCTGGTTAGGGGGAAACAGTTGTCTAACCGGGCTTGACTCCAAGCCATCCTTGGCATCCGCTCTGGGTTGAAGAGCTCTCACTGGACCTATGCATGTGTTGGGTTTTGAGGCTTGGCCGACTCTCGAATAGCCTGATGTCAAGAGAAAGCGGATCAAAACGATCTACTGGTAGAATCATGTCGATTGGATGTGCAAACCTTCATACAATATCTACATAGGATTACGCAAGCAATGTTTCAGAATCAAGTGGGTTGGTTCCACTTGAGAGAAGGGACAGAGTTTTTCATTTGCCTAGCATGTTGTACTCTTGGCAAGTACAATCTCAAGACATCAGTCTGTCCAATCGCAAATTTCTATACTACTCTGATAATAGCAGATCTGGCAGCTGCTGCTGTCGCTTGTCCCCGCTCAGCAACTTGAAACAGGCGTGAGGCTATGCATATCATTCGCATGAAAAACATGTTGTTTTCTAGAAGTAGCCTGACTACACTCATTCTAATAAAATATCTGATCCTTGGCGAGAGAACTTGCCTATTCCACTACTCCAACCACACAAGTTGCATCTGGTAATCAATGGAATTCGTTAAAAAGGTCCTTCTACTCAACTTGAGTGACAAGCTTGCCGACATTCGCATCCTTCTGGGGATACGGAAGGTATATATCGATGCGAGAGATGATAACGGACGTACGCCGCTGTCATGGTGTGTTGATCCGGGCAGTGAAATCTACTTAAAAAGAAGCTCGTTGCTCAACATAAATAGCAGCCTACCCTCCTACTTCCATCTACGTCTAAAATCTCTGCCCTAAATATATATATTCTAAACCTCAATCCATCACCTAGATATCGATCTTGATTCTATACTCGCAGCTATTCATCGCAAACCTGTTATCCATTTAAGCTAGCACCCTTATTGGCACCTTACTCACATGCTTATCGACGCCCGCCACCGCGCCTCTTCGCAAGTTCTGACCTGAACTTCGATCAGCCTCCTGTCTGATACCAAGTGCGACTACACCGCCCATGGCGCCTCATCTCTTCTAGTGAGGTGCGTTGGGTAGACACCAAGAGGACGGACTAAACGTCCGATAGGCGCTCTCTATTCTCGAGGACTTTCAGCTGCAACTCCTCACGGTGCGAGGAAGTATAACACACAGGTGGAAATACGGAGACACCACGATTGATCTGGCCTTCGCCACTGAGAATGTGGCGTCGCACACCATTTCCTGCAGAAACGACGAACGCTTAGACTACGACTCGGATCATCTCCTAGTGGCCGTGGTCATCGAGCGGGGATGGCAGTCGACGACACCTACACATAAGCGACGTTAAAGCGGTACGGCTTCTCGACAAATACGGACAACTTCTCGCGCGGTTTGCAACGGCCAGCACATTGGGCGAAGATCTGCTACTATTACGGGCGCGCTGGAGAATACGCCCGGGCTGATGAGATACGACAGCCACGACTTTGTAGGCGACCACACGGACGGCGGCGCGTCCACCTAGCTCATCAACGGATCCGACGGGAAATCAGCTACTAGTTGGAGGGAGCGGAGTCAGGGAGAGGAGCAGTTGGGGTATCCCGACAGAGCGAAGGCAAAGAGTTTCTTGAAGTGGGATCGTGAGCGAAGCGGCCACATTAGAGATACGCGAGGTGGATGGCAGGAGGGGCTGGTGCATAAGTACGTGGGCAAAGCGAGAGCGCGAGAAGCCAGTGAAGAAGCAGCACAGCGAAATTACCACGGGCCGCCGCGGGTTTGTGAGGCTTTGATTATGGTTGTTATCATCGTCAAATCCTGCTCTTGGCAGTGCTGTGCCTCCCAATAATGACTCCTTTCATTTCCACTTCTTGCTTACATGCATACTCGAAGGTCTCATTTTCTGCAAGGATCATCAAACTAGCAATGCAATATCACTTCCCATTGGTCTGACCGGGGATCTTTAAGGCTGAAAGCGATTCACCGATAAAAATATACCCCTGCTGGGCAATTGCCGAGAACCCTAATGCGTAGCAGCTTGCGTTTCTTGTCTGATATATTTATACCCTCGAGCGATGCCATCACTGCATTTTTCTACTACGAATATCTTGTGCAGACTCTTCCCATATCGACTGAATCACCTATCGGCATCCCGCCATCGACAGCCATGACCAACACACGCTTTCAGGGGTGGTACTCGAGCTACGGTAGCCTCTTCCAGAACATCTCCTCCGACGTCTGCAGCGAAACCCTGAGAGATTACCTGACCGCCAGTAATGGCGACACGTGCGATCTTCACATCGACTGCATACTCGGGAACACCAGAGAAAGCGTCAAATCGGCCATCGCCTCGGCCGCAATCTTCCTCAGTCTCGTACCAACCATCATGTCCATGCTCGGCCCCAGCTTGGTCCAGCTTGCCATTCTCTCGACGCGCCGACCTCTACTGTCCTTTCTCCTGAGCGTCGGCTCAAGCGAGTTCTATCTCGACGGGCTGTTCCGCATCGAATCTACAGAAGAGCTGCTGTCTATCGCCAAAGGAGAGCGGCTGTTCCCGCGCATCAGAGGCCCCAAGGCCGCCCTGATCAGTGCCGGGGAGTACGTTATCGCGGGTCTCGCTGTCGCCAACGTCGTGCACAACTCGTACCGGCTGGGCAGCAAGACCATCGTCAGCTTCGTCTGCAATACGTGGTTCTTCCCGCTGGTCTGGACCCTGATGCTCCCGGGCATCTTCCTCCTGGTCACGATCCCTTTCCAGTTCTCCGGCATCGCTAAGGCCATCCGACAACGCTCTTACCACCGGCAAGAACCGCCGAGGGCTTCTATCTGGGCAACTTCGTCCCTGGAGCCGTCACCGGCGCTGAAGCAGGGCGTCCCGCGCGCGGACAGTTTGAAGTTAGCCAGGGACATCGTTGCTCTCGAGGGGCTGCCATCGCTAGGCCACCCATCGATTCCGAGTCAGGGTCTCCCGAACTTTGAGAAGTGGCTTACAATACTGCTCAACGCGGCCTCTTTTGTGGCTGCTATTCATGTCTTGGTTGGGATCTGTTTCTTCTCGTCTATCCTCTTCATCTCTGTGGTAGACGCTATCGAGGTTACATTACGCTATCTGGCTTCGGCTGCCGTGTGTCGGCTAGTGGTGACGTTGGAGTTTACAGGAATGAAGGCGAGGCTAGACCATGATCAGAGAGACGAGGTTGACATCATTAGACAAAAGTAAAAGTACTGAAACAGGGCAGCAGT